TTTTTTATTTTATTTTTTTTTTTTTTCTTTTTTTTTTTTATTTTTATTTTTTTTTTTTTTTTTTTATTTTTATTTTTTTTATTTTATTTCTTTTTTATTATTTTTTTTTTTTTTTTTATCGTTAATATCTTTTATTTTTTTTTTTTTTTTCTTTTTTTTTTTTTTATTTTTTTTATAATTTTTAATTTATTTTTTTTTTTTTTTCTTTTTGTTTTATTTTGTTTGTTTTTTTTTTGTTGTTTTTTTTTTTTTTTTATTGTTTTTTCTTTTTTTTTATATTTTTTATTTTTACTTTTTTTTTTTTTATTTTTTTTTATTTTTTTTTTTTTTTTTCTTTTTTAATTTTGTTTTTTTTTTATTTTTTTTATTTTTTACCTTTTTTATCTTTTTTTTTAATTTTTTTTTTTTTTTTTTTTTTTTTTTATTTTTATTTTTTTTTCTTTTTTTTTTTTTTAATTCTTTATTCTGATTTTCTTTTTTTTTTATTTTTATTATTCTTTGTTTTTTTTTTTAATTTTTTTTTTTTTTTTTTCTTTTTTTATTTTTTTTTATTTTTTTTTTTTTTTTATTTTTTCTATTCTTGTTATTTATGTTTTTTTTTCTTATTTGTTATATTATTTTTTTTTAAATTTTTAATTTTATTTTTATTTTTTATTTTTTTTTTTATTTTTTCTGTCTTTTTTTTTCTTAATTTTTTTATTTTAGTTTTTTTGTTTTTTTTTTATTTTTTTTTTTTTAATATTTTTTCTTTTTATTTTATGTTTTTTTTTTTCTTTTCTATTTTTATCTTAATTTTCTTTTTGTTTTTTTATTTATTATTTCATTTTTTGGTTTCTTTCTTTTAATGTTTTTTGTATTTTTCTTTAACTTTTTTTTTATTATTTTATTTTCTTTTTTTATCTAGTATCCTGATATATAACCCCAAATAAAACTAAACCTCCACATCAAACCAACTTGCATACCCCTCTAAACAATTTCATCTACTTCACTTGGACCCCCGATAACATTGAGATTCAAACATTACAAATGTGACGATTCGAAATAAGACCCCCCCCATCAGATCCCAGACAAACATATTGCCAATTGCTCGTGGAAGCCTGAGCTCTCCACCGCCAGCACCGTCAACCAGCAGCCGTTCAACGAGCTTGTTATTCGGCAGCCTGCCAGGCACCACGGGTTGCCAACGTCTTACTGTTCACACGTGTGCTTTTGCTCAGCCGCCGAAACTCCACGGACGGTGCGGGACACATGGCACCGCTCGACAGTTGCCAGATGATCAAGCACAAACCCGACCTCCCCTGGCACTCGGCAGAGAAGATTTACCGCACGCCCTCCTTCCCCATCTGCTCTGGCGCCATACCAGCGTAGCCCACATCGAAAGTCCCACTTCTGCACATGCGAGATAGCTGACGTAACAACAGCGTTTCCCGAGCCCTTGCGGTCACCTGGGGCGGCCGTCGGGCATTTCCCAAGTTCCTTGGAATCATTTCCATTGTGCTCCATCCTCTTTACACCTTCCATACTCCGCTCGCCTCCGCAGCAGACTTCACTTGACAAGAAGGCCACCCGTCGTCAACTCAATGACATGTCTACATTATTTCACGTGCTATTCGACAGCTAACCTAGAAATAGCCCTGTTTCGCGCCATTCAAATGGCCCTCACCGCGCATGAAATCCTTCAAAAAATCTCAGATCTCCTGAGACACTAACCTCAGCCCCACCGACTTACCTTCCCCCAAGTTTTGACCCGCGAAACCGACTATTCGAACGCCGTTTACTTTCAGAAGACGCAGCTACCAATTCCTCGCCCCCTTGCAAGACCGTAGGTCCACAGTATCGCAACTGAAACACTGGCGCACAGCACTCTCCAACAGTACCCCAGCTAGTGCCTGGGATCCGTCTCAGTCCCCAAATCCAAAGACCCCGAATCTGTTAATTGATTTCCTGGCTCCCACTTTCGCGCAATTTACTTTTCATATCTGGCCTTCTTGTTTCGTCATTTTGTCTCTTAACCTTATATTTATATCAAAAACAAACAAACAACTCAGTTTAACTGTCCTTTCAAAACATCCTACAATGTTTACTTTCAAAACTGCCTAGAATCCAACGTTTTCCCCCCACCCCCCATCCCCTATGAATGGCATGCCAAAAATGGAATAAAACTAATTGTTGTCTCCAACATACTAATAACCTTTTCTATAATCAGAGGCAAAAACATTCAGTAGATATACCACAAAACGATCAATTCACATTCCTTTAAATTGTCTTTTATGTTTCACCATTTGACCTGAAGATTCTTTGCCCTAGCTGCAAGCCAGGTCTCACATCCCAGACTTACCTCCGATCGAAATTTCCCATTTCTCAGAGGCGAAAAATCTTTAATCTATTTGCTGAACACTGAGGGTCTATGCTTCCTTAGCATTTAACTTTCAATTCTTTAACTGCGGAATTCAATAAACACTTTACTTTTAAAATAGTGTAAAATATCATGAATTTATATTTGAAAATCACTACTCTTGAAATTCCTTTAGACTAAAACTTTACCTCCAATAACCTTTACAATAACTGCAACCATACGACCAGAATTTTTGACCCCCCGAAACAGAGCAAGTGCATCCATCTCACTTGTAATATACTTTTAAATTGAAAGATCTTGCTTGTTTCCAAGACACTTCGCCCATGCCACCAGGCGAACCCTATCACCCTACGAGAAGAATTTCTTAGAATAAAAGCTAAAAGACCTCGTTTTTTTTAAAATCCCACATAACACCAATCGGAAAATTGCAATTTACCCACTTCTTGACAAGATCACACAAAAAATATGCTTAATCAATTCCAGGCATACTCAAATGATTATGACTCCCCATATATTCACAACACCAACTGATTTTACCTGGGCACTTGGGCACACTCTAGCAGATCACTTGACTGCAGATATCCTGCATTGTGTCTAGCAGCTTACACCTTGCTACCTCTGTTCTGTGTGCCACCCACAAGCAGGCACAATATTCGCCACCAGAACACGGACAAGTACCAATTACCAATCCATTTGAACCTAAAACTAAACTAAATAATCAACAAGTCAACGGCGTAAACTCTCTTCCTACTGCCCACCCATTCGTTCACCATAGGGACACTGACAAATCGACCAATTCACCTACGAAACGCACATTGTGATAATACGCCAAGTCCATGTAACTTTGCAAAATCTTTTAATAGGAAGGAACAAGTTTAAATATAAACAAACAAGCAAAGAACCGCACACAATGACGAGGAAACTTTACTGCAATCTAAAGCACCCATCCTGCATCAAGGCATGACATAACATTAGATTATTCGGAGGACAAAATGTTTCTAAACATGTCCTGCTGGTGCTACTCCAACTCTCGATCCCTTAACATTTCTTGCTTGATCTTTCTCTGTTTTCTCAAGAAGTGCCCATATCACAATACACTGACACTGAATTTCAAATGATCCACCAAATCCATTCAAATCTACCTCGTAATTCAAATAAATCTAATCTCCCAACACTTTCAACCGAACTCAACAATTTCCCTTTCCAAATACATGCCAATTTTTTTAGCCAATTGTCATTCAAAATTTACCCTTGGAACTTGCCTCTTAAAAACTAAGCAATCCCATCCGGTCTTAATCACGACGAACCAAGTAGAATTATTTGACATTTCTTGATATTAGTAGACACAACGCTAACACCATTAATAAATACTGCACATCCAAAAATCATTTTTACATAATTAACGAATATGTACATTGTTGTCTGCCTACCACAATATTGTTAAAGCTCCACTTAATTTCAACTCCAAAAGAAGAAGCAAAACAACACTTCCCCCTGTCCCACTACAATTTAAAAACTGCATCCGCGGTACCTTTTCAAAGATTCAAACTACTACCAACACTCACAATACACCCTTCCTACAAACAAACGGTCACATTCCAACTATTCTACTGTCTCTTAATAGATAAATAAAAACAATAAAAATATCACTGCTCCGCCCAAGGCAATACATTTCATTGTTTTCTACCTCGAGGGCCCTCACACGCGTACTGACCAGGATCATCACACCATCCGCTGCACAGACGACAAGGGGCTCTTCAGGAGGCCCAGCTCCTCTTCCTGCTATTACTGCCGGTGGACCTTGCAATAATGCATCTGCTGCCCCCAGGATACGAAGTTCTCCTCGCCCACTAGCGGCGAGACCCGTAACCTGGTTAGGAGTGATCTAGGCGCCTATTATCCTGCCAATAATCACCACATTGAGGCCCACGCTCCTCAATGAGTGGCCATGAAACGGCTTTGATACTCGGGGCTCGCTGAAGGAGCGGTGATCTGACAAAAAATTCAATCACGGACTAGCCATTCTCTTTCATTTCATCCTCGAAATATAAAGCACCCAAATCAGTTATGTTTCTCTTCTGGTGTATCAACACACATAAACCACGAAGAAGAAGCTTACCACATATACTTCTCTCCACTAGATAGTAAGATCTGATTTTCGTCGGTTCTCGTGTCCCACCCATCGAAGGAATTCGTTATGTTGTCGAACCGTACCCGAATCTAAATCTGAAACAACAACAGCCGCTTCAGTGATCCTAAGGTATATATCACCGTAGTTTCCTTCAGACCTGTCCCTAAGCATTACAGGAGCTATCCACCCAAAGCACCCTAGGAGGAAAAAGCATACAAGGCACCACCTCCACCCGCTAGGCTTCGAGCAGGCTGTTTCCAATCCCCAAATTAAGCCTGGTCCTGAAATCCATACAAGCAGCCTTACTTCTACTAAAACTACACCTTCTAAAATTACAGTTATCGAAGACACGCCCCCCTGTTTTAGAAAACATACTCACGTTGCACACATCAGCCATGCTCTAATCGTTTATGTCACATCTGTTTATCACCCCCCCATCAATTTACAATCTCAGAACACACGAGCACTGCCATAAAACCACAATTGAATCGATTTCAAAAATTTCTCAACATTCGCACATCCTAAACATCCACTGAGCTCCAATGGTGTCAGGACCAACTTCCATAAACAAGCAAACAATACACTAGCTTCCATCTATGTTTCACAGCCGACTACGCCGATACCACTAACATTACAATCCCACTAATACTACCAAAATCCACAACCAATGGTCTCACGAATGCCACGACCACTAGCACGCCTTACCAATCCCTGTCCACCCATCCCGCAAGATGACCGCGTGCAGGCCTCTTCTCGCACCTACCCCACCATTAAAGCGACTTCATGTCAACTCATCGACTCGAAATCGTCACGCTCCAGCGCATCTGTGATATATCCAACCCGAGAGAAAGCTCTATCTGGAACCCAGCGCGGTCGCAACTCCGTCTAATTCAGTAGCGGCCACACGCTCTTGAGCGCCGAAGAGAAAGGAGATTCAATAAGGTCATACAGCATCCGATGACCGTTCAGATCGATAGACTCAGACTACAAACGCTACTAGACAGAGCGAGACTGTACAAGACCGACTCCAGACGGTGACCGCCACCACCTAAGACCAGACAGTGAGAGCCAGCTAAAGACAGAGTGACCCTGAGAGCAAGAGCACAGATGAGAGCAGCTAAGAGACAGAGGAGAGAGTAAGAGACAGATGGAGCACAGAGAGTATTAGAAGCACACCCACCCCCCCACCCCCCAGTCCGAACGTAGAGTAAGACGACCAGCACCGTTGTAAGAGAGGAAGTAAGAACCACGACCCGACACGAAGTCAAACACCAAGAGCTACCAGACAGGAGTAACGAGACAGAAGTGCGAGACGAGTAAAGATCCAGCATCAGAACGAGATAAGCGACAGCCCCTGCCCCAGCCACCCCCCACCGCCCCACCTCCCGTGAGCCGAGAGTACGAGACCAGAAGCTGACAGAGATTAACGAGCACAGAGCTATCTGACGACAACGAGAGTAACGAGACAGAGTTATGAGCAAGAGACGTAAGAGACAGACTGACCCGAACGAGGTACAGAGACACACGTGACGACAGCAGTACAAGACGACAGAGTGAAGAGAGAGTAACAGAACATCGTACATCGAGATAAGAACAGAGGAGAGAGAGTAAGAGACAGAGTGAGAGAGTAAGAGACAGAGTAAGAGAGAAGTAAGAACCAGAGTGACGAGAGTAAACAAGTATAACCACAGCGAAGTGCACTGAGATAAAGAGAGTGAGAGAGTAAGAGAGAGTGAGAGAGTAAGAGAGAGTGAGAGAGTAAGAGAGAGTGAGAGAGAGAGTAAGAGAGAGTATGGGAGAGAGAGAGTGAGAGTAAAAGAGCGAGAGAGAGAGAAGGAAAAGTTTAGTAAAATTAATTACATACCTTCAGGGTGAGGTTGCACAGCGCCTCGAAAGTGAGGATTGATGAGGATCTTGTGGGGAGGTTGTTGCATCTGCTGTTGCTGCTGCTGCTGTTGCTGAGTCTGCTGCATGGGATGATGGCTGGGCTGAGGAGGGGGTGCAGGCTGGGGTGGAGGGAGCTGCTGCATTGGAGGCTGCTGGTGCTGGTGTTGATGTTGGTGCTGATGTTGGTGCTGGTGTTGATGTTGCAGGTGATGGTGATGTTGCACCTGCTGTGGTGGCTGCTGTGGAGGAAGAGGGTGGCGCACAAATGGGCCAGGGCCAGGAGAGAACACTGGTCCCTGGAAGTGTGGAGGTGGCTGCTGTTTCTATTATCGAACACCAAATGTTACAAAGACCATTAATCAAGAAATCAAAAGAGAAAGTGATCACAAATGAAAGGCATTTTCCACTTTCATTAATTACAAATTAATTGGACCCATGGAAGACTGACAATTCTCAGAAGATTCAGCTACTATCTAAAAGTACAACAAACATATCTACACTTTAGAGCCACGTGAGATATCTCCAAATCATTGGTAAAGACATTTTAATTTAAATCCTTACACACAAAATTCTTTGAACTTTTTTAACGCATAAATTAGTGTTTTTCACTCGCATAAAAAACAATTAAAAACCTCTTATTCATTTTCCCCTTCCTATTTGAAATGGAGATGATGACTCGTGTCACCAGGGAAGATAAATTTAGCACCGAATTCTAGTCCAGTGGTTTTGAAGCATAAAGATCTGTTTATAATAAATGCACTAGCATATTCCTGGTTTTTAGTAAGTAATTATAAAACACAATTAATAAAACATTGCTGTAAATATTGCATTTCTTTTCAAAATGATCAAAACTATTTAATTACCATGTATAATTTTTAAAATGCAATGCAATAAACTGCTAGGAAATGTGAAAATGAACACTTAAAATAAAAAATACAATAGCTTCAATAGCACAATAATTTTCTAGAAAACATAACTTGTTTTACACATTCACCTTCATTCCTAAGAAATATTATCAAATTCAAAACCACTAGTTTGATGCCAGCAAAACCAATTTATGTAGTAAATGTAACACAAATGTAGCAAGACTTGAGGAAAATCTTAATATATTCCCAATGTTTACACTCTATGTAATTAAAAATATTTTAAATAATTTATAATTAATGCAATGCCTTGTAAATATTAGCGAATGAAAAAGTACTAAATCTTATGTTCCTCTGACTTGCTCATTTGACAAGGGTTTTTCCCATAGTAAATACAAACCATAACATCAATTTTTTAAAGGAAAAACCATGATGAATTATTTTACAACTCCTATTTAAATTATCAGCTCTACAATCCCTATGTAAATATACATGTTTCTACCATATCTCTTCAAATCCAGATACAACTAAATTTAAGGTACTAACATTTGTTTTAGTTTATGGACAAAACACTGCACTAATTATACCAATTAATGAAAATTCAACATTAAGATTATTAAAACATTAATACATTTTTATAAACATTTATGGCTCATGTAGAATTTTTGTTACACTTAAACATTTGTGCTCTCTTCATTTGTACTAGAAGTATTTCTTTTAGTGAAGTCATCAAACTTGTCTTCATTCATATTATTAAATCATATGTTAAGTTTTGTGTTAATTAAAGCATTTGAGACAGCACACTTTTGTCCTCATAATTTACAGCCTAAAATAAATCTTTTAATCAAAAATAGTTTATTGTAGAACAAAGACTTTACAGGAAATGAAATTCAAGAGAAAATGTACCCCCAAAAATGGGAAAATATATTATTCTACATTAAACTACAACCAAATATTGAGGTATTAAAAGAGCAAACTCAAATCAGGGACAACTTCCAAAGTTGCATTAATTTCAACAATCTAAAACCTATGTGCATAAGATTTGAAGAAATATGGTGAGTCCACTAAAGCAAATTGCACAATTAAGATACAAGATTTGATACTACCTTTTACACTTCTCATCTAAAAATAAAATATGGAGATCCAATTTGGATTTATTCCATAATTTCTTAAACCTAACAAAGATATTTTTACAATCAAGCACTAAACAAATACTGGAATGTCTACAGAGATTTATTGAGTAGCTGACAATCTCTTTTCAATTTGCATGTAAATGAATTAATATTTTGTAAAAAATATTTTAGGACATCTTTCTCTCTCTCTTTGTTTATTGACAAATGACATACTTAATGACATTCTTTTACTCTTTTTTAAAAAAAAACTACAGTTACTTGTAACCTAAAATGTGAATTGAAGGCCTTGTACCTCAAACACAATACAAAATACTTCTAATAACAAAAACATGTTACGTTATTTTTGTTTGAAAATCCTAACACTTTTTCATTTGATTTGAGAAACCTGTTCTTCCTCCCGAGAATACATAGAGATGACCCAATAATTTTAAAAGATGTGAAATATCACAGTGACAGATTAAATTCATTTGTACCTCAAGGGATAGTGAACATAACTTTGTGCATGTCAATAATAATTTTTATAATAATAATAATTAGTATTATTAACAATACATAAAATATTCTCTGAAGAGAAATATTAAGTTTGTTGCCAGTGGTATTGATTTTGAAATCAGAAGTGCTAATACAATTATTCATTTTTTAAATGAATTCGATAAACAATCAATAAATATTTAATAATATAATGACATATGATTTGCCTGGAGCAACTAAGGCAAATTATGATAGAGATTACAAGGATGTAGTCTCAAAACAGGAATTACAAGTTTATAATTTTTGAAATAGCAACTATTAAATGTATTTCAGCATGCAACCATAAATGTAAGGCCCAGATAAGTTGAATTATTAAATTATGTGAATGAAAAAATTACTTTAGCATGAGATCATTACAAATGCATTACAAAATCCCAAAGTAAACCATTGAGTTACTTGCTATTATCTAATTTCTTTGCTATTAACAAAATTTAAAGAATAGGCAAGAGTAGTTTATTACTGACAGAACATATTTGTAATGGCAAATGTGAACACAATAAAAATGTTAATCAGAGCAGAACAAATTGTCACACAAACCAGTAAAGATAGAATGACTGGTCATTTCAATTTTTTTCTCACACAGATGTAAGAACTAAGAAAGCGATAATTAAAATTATGGAAGTCAACAAAAGTTGGAATGAATGAAGTTTATAGAACTTAGTATTACTATTACTCAGCAGATTTACTGTATCAAGGTATTGTTGATAGTTCACAAAATTATTGTCTACAAATAGTTTATTTCATTTCCTTTTAAACTTTTATCTACGCAAAACTGTTTAATATGGAGGCAAAAACATTATTTTCACAAAAAAAAAAGTAATTCAATTAACTTTCAGATGACTAACATTATTCTTGTCTTCACCCACAAATATTGGTTTCTATTTTGAATAAAAGTGCCATACCATTTACAAATGAATCCCTGTGTCAAGCCAACTAATAAATGCATTAAAATGTATTTTAAGTTTCAAACAAAATTATTTAATTTCTACAAAATTAAAAGTATATGTTTATGTAATAATAGTTACAAATTTGCCATACGCTTGCACATAATAAGAGCTAATTATTTGTCTTTGCTTTCTCAGTATTAAAGAAAAGAAGATCCTTATTATAGTAAAAATTAATAAAAGTTGTTCTTATTTCAGTTAATTTGCTGTCAACTTATCCAAAATATTATTTTTATAAATATTAATTACCAGAGGGCACCTCTGGAAAGAAGCAGTAACAGAAATTACATCTGCCTACATTACACAATACTCAATTTCAATTTAATTAAAGAATGCAAACTGCTGTACATATTCCTAATTCCTCAGAATTAAAAAAAAGTATAAAGATTAACATTTTGGAGGAGAAAAAAAGGTGGAGTAAAGATATATAGAAAGATATATTGAATGAATTTTTCTCTAATAATTTGCAATTACATTATTAAGGATCAATTGGCCAAATGTTTAGTTGATTAAATTACAAACAAATTATTTTCATAAGTTCCAAATAGTATCGAGTCACAGACAAAGGTTTTGAATCCTTTAACTAACAATTTCATCTTTTGTATTTCAACAAAAAATACTACTTATTAAACAGATGTAATTCCATTTTTTTCAACTCTCTCAATGCCTTTCCAACTTTGCTTCTTTATTAAGCATGTAATCAAATCTTAAAATGAACAGATAAGACATAAATTGTTTTATCTGAAAGTTCAGTATGAATAATAATTTTTTTATTAAGTGTGTAAAGTGATTGTTTTGTGGACAATGAAGATCGGGAGTTTTGTCTGATTTGGAGCAAGAGGCAATCAATTCACTCGCGAAATGTAAACAATTTTTTTTATGATCTTATAAAACAGTTTCGTTAATGAATATTGTTTTGTTTTATATCTACTGTTCATGAGTAGTGTGTGTTCCAAGTGCCATGTTCTTACAAAGAAAAGTTTTTTTGCACTATGACATGATGCCACTGCACCATAAAGATGTTTGTTTTTCAGATGTCTTAAGAAAGTAGTTACTTGATGCATCATGAAAACATTCAATTTCACAATCGTAAAAAAACTATTTTATTTTCAGCAGTAATTGACTTAGGACCCATTTTTTATGGAAGCCCTTCCTTCAGTATTTGGAAATGAAATAACTGAAGGAAGGTCCCATTAAAAATGTGTGTGCAACTTTTATTTCCGAAACTTTTCAAACCAAAATTATACTTATGTTGATGAATTCTTTACTTCCTAAACATTAGAAGTAAATGAACATTTAATCATATTTAATAAACATATCTTGAAATATGTTTATTCTGAAAGTGTGGTTACATAAATTAACTAAATTTCCAATAACAATAATCCAGCCCTGGCAAGAAAATAAAACAAAACCAAAAAGAAAGTAGTTACTGCTCCTTTCAATGCACTGAAATACATATCATATCTATCCTTACAGAATGGAAATGCTGACGAGATCCTCCTCGTGGTCCGTTTCCTCGCCCTCTTCTGTTTCTCCACTGATTGCCATCTCGCTTGTGTTGTTGCTTTTGCGTATTGTTCTCATCTACAGGAATGACATGATCTAAAATTTTGAACAGTCAAAACAAACAATACTTTAAGAACGTACACTCACATTGTCCATCCGTGACACAAATAATTAACTACCAGTTTTGAAAAATTAGAATTCTCTAAACAATTTTTATCACAAAAAAATGAACAAATCAACAACTGATTCTTATACATACCTAAGGAGTCAGGAATATTGCCATACGTCTTTCCACTTTTTAATGAAACAATATTTGTTCTTTCAGACTTGAAGCGTCCTCTTCCTTCACCTTCGCCACCCTCTTCCTCTTCCTCTGATTCCAAGTGAGCAGTTGTCTCTGCAGTGGAGTTATCTACTTCAAGATTTCCTTGCACATTGGCAGCAGGTTTAGTATCTGAATGTGAACACAAACACAGAATCTCACTCTCCAGCAAAAACTCAATGAAATTCCTAAACTCGTATGTTCATTTTGGTTTATGCAAAATACATTTCCAATCCAGGGTGAACGCTGGTAACTCAAATTTATTTTCTGTTTCCCAGTATTTTCCCTGAGTTAGGAGCCTTACATTAGGTAACGCTTAAGAGGGAGGAGAGGGTTTGAGGTAGCCTTACGCAGCATTATATAGGGGTAGGGGGTATTCCATTTGTGTCCTGTAACATTGAATTTAAAATTTTTTTTTTTTTTAAACGTTTGCAGAAATGCTTCCTTTTTTTGGCATACCAAAACATGAAATTATCTAATTAATTTATTTAAAAAAATTTTAACAGAAATATTTTAAGTCTTTTTGATAATTTTTGAATGTTGAAGAAAAAACAAAGAAATATGAAATAATACACAAATTCTAACTTACAAAGCATCTATCTGCCTGGAATTACTTTCACAAAGAGCATTAAATTTGGAGCAAATGACTATGTCGCCAAATTACCCAAAAAATACTCATATTTCATACCTTATTTGAAGATCTGTTTTTGATTCACACGTTTCATTAAGAAAGAAAATGTATCTTCATAATTGTAGTTGTAGGAAGATGCCGAAATTTTTATTTTTGAAAAATCAGGCATTTCAACAAACATGGGACCTGCACCATTTTTTAAGCTTCCTTTAGGGTATCTAAAGTCCAAATTTAATTTAAAAAATTTCGTGCCTTTTAAATAGAAAATGGTTTAAAGAAAATTAAAATCTCCTATGTTTGCCACAATTGTCACCATTTTTTGCGCAGAATTACATCACTTCATCTGTTCTCCGTAAGCGGTAGCGAGAAAGTAAAAAACATACTCTTAACATTTGTTGTAGCCAGAATCCATGTCTTGTAGGTCTGTTATACAGAAGAATTGATTGACCGCAAAACATCCGTCCGTCTGTGAACAACACTAGCGCCTAAAAGATGTGTACATGATTATCGCGCAATATGTGCAATTTAAAAAAATAAGAAAAAAAAAAAACTTTTCCTCAAAAAGTGCTTTAATTTTTTTCTTTAAGCCTTTGATACGGATATTGTTACATGTACTCTATGAGTTGACATAAACACCATTTTACTCTATTCTTTTCTTTTTTCAAAAATTACAAAACAATTATTTTTATGGCTAGTCTCTTACATCGTTGTACATGAGAATGATATCTTATTAAGTTTCTCAATAACTTTAAACTTTTCTGTGAAAAGGAGCCCAAAATTCTGCATTTTCAGAAACTCAGAAATTTATCTTCTCAAAAACGGCTCAAACTTTTTGTAAGGATACTGTGAATAGCTTAAGATGATATAAGATTCATTTTGATGTATACTTATGTTTTTTAAAAAATTACACAAATATAACTTTTGAAATATCTGTCACGCCATTAATATGCACATTTCTGGTTATTAGTACACATTATTGTATTGTAGTGTGTGGACTTCCAATAAAGTTTTTCAAAATGCAAAATATTTCTGTGAAAAAGAGCTTCAAATTTCGAATTTACAGTAATGCTTAAATTCCATTTTTTCATAAATGGTTTCAAATTAGTCAATAAAAATTTCCTTAAATGACGAAGTTTTACTCTTCTATAATATTCTTAAAGTAACATTTTGGTTCTTTTACAAAGCCAAAAATTTGAGAAAATTTCAAAAAAATGGACTTTGGGTGGCTATAAATGGCAGCTTGCAAGAAAATGTGGCTAATCCAGACAAAAGGAATTAGAAAACTAGTACAAGCAAGACTGCCATTCTTTAGCACTAATTTCTTTATATACTACTATCAATACTCTTCTTCTGTCCTCTCTCAAACCGACTCCGTTTGTCTAATTTACAGTGATGGCCATTGTCAACAATGGACACATAAGTGCCACTTTTGTCATAAATTAAAGGTGGTCCATAGTTGGTGTAAAAACTGTATATTTTTTATTAATTTCAAGCACCAATTACGCAAAACTACTCTCTTTTTTTCAAAAACACTGATCATGACGAAGAACTTTCAAAAACCAATTAATACCCCAAAAAATTACTACCACCATTATTTTTATTGCTTATTACATCCATGAAGAAAAATTTAAGAAAAAATTTGGAGCAGTTTTTGAGATTTTTTTTTCTTGCAAATCTCGATTGTAATATACACAAAAACTTCTCGTGTTTTTTTTTTTTTTTTTTTAATTGCACAGGACATTTTTGAAAAGATAATTTTTTACAAGCGGCTCAGTCTCCAATTTTTAAGTTTCAGTTTTTTTTCCTTCCAATTTTCGAAAAATAGTGAAATTTACCGAAAATGAGACCTGAACCATTCTCTTAAACGTCTTTTTCACTATTCAACAAATTTAATAAAAAATCAAATTTAATAAAACTTTTGGAGCTCATTTTTTTAAATGTCCCAGAGGCTTCATGTAAAATACCTCGGAAATTAAAATATCAGTTTCAAATTCCAGGATCCGCGACATCTGCTAGAACGATTAGTAAATATCAATTTTGGAACAACAGGCTGAATATTGGCTGAACTGCTTATGTGCTAGCGTCGTGCATTGACGGACGGACAGACAGTTTGTCGTCAATCGATTTTTCGGCATAAAGGACGCACAAAACATGGACTCTGGCTACACCACGTGTTAGAGGAATTTTTTTCTATATAATCAACTGGATTTATCTACGTTTTCCTTACAAGGGCCCGGCAATAAGAGTTTTTGTGCCGAAAATTCGTTTTCCGGCGCGCGATTACAATACTAAACTAGTGATGCAAAACAATGCACAGACTTTCCAGAGAATTTTCTTTTTCCTTTGGTCTCTGTTAGAAATACGAATTTGCCACATACTCTTGCCAGCTGCCATCCATCGCCGGCCAAAAAACTTTTGAAATTTTATTAATTTTTCGGTTTTCTAATAGTAGAACTGATTTATTATTTAAAGAATATTAAATAACAGTGAAACTTCGTCACAAATGGCAATTTTCTTTGAAACACGTTGGAGAAAAATTTGAAAAAAATGTTTGGAGCCGTTTTTGAGGTTTTGAGTAAAAGGTAAATATGGTATATGCATTATTTTTCTGAGCCAATATTTCTTAACTTGTATTACAAAATTTAACTTAAATGTAAAATGTAAACGGTGGCACCTTGCAGAACATAGGCGAAATATAAATGATGACACATCTTGACAATTCCCTAACCAATCACCCAGTAATCACAGGACATAACATTAACTTCCTTGAGACTAAAGTTTTTTAGTCAATATCAGTTAATTCTGTGTTAGCTTAGAGTTTCTTGAAACACTTTATAAAAACTATTCCCTGCTGCATTTCCCAAAACTAATCCAACAAGTTTTTGTGTTTGTGTGATGGACTGTTAAGGAATTTCATTTAGTTTTCATTTCAATCTTGGCTTGTTTCAGGAATTATAATACTCACCAGTTCTATTTACCTTTTATATTCCTATTTCTTACCAATTTCTTCCAAACATATTCAGACCTCAACATGATTCCCCCCCCCCCCTACTTACTCTTCTCCTAACCCTCCTAATACCGCCCCTTCCCATCATTTCCTTTTGCAAAATTCTCCTCCAAACTCGTCTGTTTAAACTGAGATTCCTTTGATCATGCCTCCTGTATGCTCACTGATAACATCTATAGTCATCTATTCTATGAATCGGAGACAACTGTGTTTAAAGTTAAGTCAAATCATCTAAGGTGAGTCTCGTTACCTTGTATGGTTACCATCAATATAAGAATATTTCTTATTTCAATGTCCGTTACTAAGTATCTAAGAACCAGCATTTTTTTCAGCTCAAAGATGAGGTCCAACAAACCTTGAAACATTGCTATTCTCAAGAGGGTTGTAACAACCAGAATTATTGAAATGTAACATAAGCAGTGATTTTCCTTGTAATGCAAATGTTTTGTAATAATTCAGACTTTTTGACTACATAAATCAAAAAATTTTACAGTATCCTCTTTCCATGACCACGTAATATATGTTTAATGCCCATAAATTACAAAATTAAATTAAAATACAAATTAAATTACAAAATTTGTTTATTTTAGTACCAATAGAAGACAGAATACTTTAATACCTGTATTTGATTCAAATGTTTCTTCTTTTTTCACTTTCAGACTTTGTTCTTGAATTACAGGCTGTTTTTTCGATAAAGATGAATCATCAGCAGATTCTTGAATTTCAGAATCAAGATCGTCAAGCCCATCAGTAACGCCCAGATCAAGAACATCATCCTCTAAAGGCTCCTCATATTCCCTATTGCAAAGTAAGCAATAGCCAAATATACCATGATTCAAAGAACAAAACCATTGAAAAACCTTCTTACAACAGAAATGACATGGCATGCTAAATCCTGATATAAAATAAAAGATACTCACTGGAATTCTGTTTGATTTTCAATATTGTCATGTTCACCAGAAATGTAGTCCTCTCTCTGCAAAAATAAGTAATATAGTCACCAGGTCATAAGGTCACCAAAAAATTAAACAGTTTCAATGTAATGAATAATTAAATTAGTACTAGATGGAACTAATAATTATAATACACAGAAATTTATTTTGAATAATGACACAGTTCATACAAGTTATTGTAAATGGTAGTCTACCAAATAAACAATTATAAAAATAAATCTGGGAATACCAACAGTGTAAATGAAGGTGCTCCTTGGATATGCAAGTTTTATCTCCTCGACACGTGGAACTACACTAGGGGGAGAACTTGATTTGAGAAGGTTGACCATTATCAGGGTTGGAGTAACAAAGTGTCAAAGGGGATACAGGACTTCATGGTAGATTCACAAGAATGGGCATTGTAAAGTTCAGCTTTCACAACAATGTATAGAAATAAATACCCTTGACTTGGGGTAAGGATGATTTTCAGCAGTGCTCGATAAATGCTTAGGAGGAAGATGTTCAGCTTTGGAATTTCTACAATTGTACATTCTATGCCTGAGTCGCATGTTATTTGTTTGAATTCATTTACTTCTTTGGAATCACAGTTGTTGGCCAGAATATATATATATAGGGTATATTATATTATATAATATTATATATTATATATGTGTGGCGTTATGGGATTGTGCAACCCCATAACACCACCGTCTCATGTGGATACAACTACGGAGGCGGCGAGGATAACAGACGCGTTAAGGCAAGAGGGAGGTACTTAAACCGCGGGGCCTGTATACGTTAATCCGTTGCCCCGTACTAAATCGAATGCGAACTGCAGTAGTGTTTTCCTTGTGAAGGTTAAGAGAGGGGAAGTACGCGGGCCTACCGACGGAGATGTGTCCCCAGGCGCCGCGCGATAAATACGCGAACCCGGCAAGCGGAAGCTCTCTCTTTTTCTTGTACACGCGTCGAGTAAAGCAAGCTCGTTACCATCATAGTCGAGTCAACACTTCGGTTAAATTAATATTGTTTGCCGCTGCCAACGTACTACTAGTAGGAGTATTCGGCGTCGAAAAGACGTTCTAGTCAGTCGTCCGCGAGATAGTGCAGATTAAGTAGTGTTTCTTCAATAACAGAGACACGGGAAGTAAAGAATTACCCGTGTTGAGAGGAACATTAAATAGTTCTGGCTAGTCCAAAGTAGAATAGCAACGAACGAGGAAACGTGTGCGACGAGTTATTCTAAGTGATGTAAGGACATTTTCGCAAGCGGGGCGGTAGTCAGAGGCGCCGGTAGCAGACGAGAGAAGAGAGCCGAGACCCGGTTGCGAGGAAAGACGGGGGAAGAAACGGAAGAGACGGCAAGAAGGCAACGCAGCGGCAGAGGCGAATCCCGTCTCTTTATCAACGCGAGAGAAGCTGGTTACCGAGACAGGCCAGGCGCGACGATGACGGCAGCGACCAGCGCACGACATCAAGGCCCAAAGGGAATTGGGAAGTTCACGAGGAGTAACAGTTGCAGCGGGAAAATAGGTCAAGTTCACGTCGGGCAGGGAAAATAGTATAGAAGTGTGGTAAGAATTTGAGGACACGGGTGGGCAACAAATTAGCAGTATGTATGAGTAGAAGACGTTTTGGATGCGCTATTGCCTGCCTAAAAACATTCTCACATAGACATTTATTGTTGTCGCTATTTGTCCAGACACGTAGAATTGTAAATGAGAGTATTGCACTTTGCACACAGTTCCTGTTTCTTTACATGTAATATCGTGTGTTAAGCGAGAGGATTGAAGTTGAAAATTGTTGGTTCTCATGTGCAATGTTTTAGGGATACACGAATTTAGATATAATTAATTTTCCAAGGGAATCCCAGGGTAGATTACAGTAATTATTTCAGAGTATCAAATTTTGAAGTAAATTATGTGTGTTCATCAATATGACGGTGTGTTGTAGAAGTTTTGGTGGTTTGATTATTCTTTGTAAAGTGTGAGTTCCTATATCTTTGGTTTTTGTCCCTGAATGATAACCACTTAATAGAGTTTATGAGTAAATTATGACGCTCGTTTTGTGGTGCAATCCTGTGGTGATTTAATTGTGTGCAAGGTTCAAGACCTTTCTTCGCACCCTGAAGGATGCCTGCTTCCCTCAGATCTTTTTAAGCTTCACTGCATCGAGCAAAATCTTGATAACCCGCTACGGTTCATGCGTATTACTGTGAAGGTGGTTAAGTTGTGTGGGGTAATGGTTGGCTAGAAACGGTTTAGATAGTATATATAGGTATAGGTATAGTATATAGGTATATAGTTATAGTTATTTGGAGTTTTGACAGCACGGCAGTGCTGTAGGATATCGGATCGAGAGAGTTTTGAGCGGGAGAGTTTTGGGAGACTTAAAGGGTTGGCGGGCTTACGACAGCATTAGTGGGAGAGAGTTCACAGGACGTAGGCCAAGGCTGAATTAGGATGAGTAGGAGAAGGGGTTGTGGTGTGGAGGGGATATAACGAACTGGTGTGGAGGGGAGTAGACGACGTGGTGTGGAGGGAGTAACGACTGGGCAGGAGGGAGTCGAGTGTGGAGGGAGTAACGACTGTTGTGTGGAGGGGAGATAACGACTGGTGTGGGAGGAGTAGAGCGACTGGGTGTGGAGGAGGTAACGACTGGTGTGGGGGAGTAACGACTGGTGTGGAGGGAGAACGACGTGTGAGACGAACCGATGGTGTGGAGAGACTGGTGGGAGAGTAACGACTTGGGTGAGGTACGGAGTGGGGGAGTAACGACTAGGTGTGGAAGGGAGTAACGACTGGGTGAGGGAGTAGACGACTTGGTGGTGGAGGGAGGGTAACGACTGGGTGAGCGGGAGTAACGAGCTGGGTGTGAGGAGTAACGACTGGTGTGGAGGGAGTAACGACTGGTGTGGAGGGAGTAACGACTGGTGTGGAGGGAGCAGGGGTTGGTGGAGGTGCAGAGATTTATTTATATTCGTTTTGATCTGAAATATGATGTACTTTTCCACTTTTTTAAAAATATTCTTTGATTATGTAGTTTGTCATTGTTCATTAGAAAATTTCATCTAATCGGCATCTGTACAGAATTCAATAATATTTTTCTAGTAATAACAGGTGTATCACCTCGTGCAGAAAATAGCTTACTGATGAGTTAATTGTTTCTACATCAATGAAGATACCAAGTTATCGGTTTTATTTTACATTAATTCATGCTTCTATTATAGTGAAAAAAACATCTTTGTTTCAAATTGTTTTTTTAGGCCTCCAAGAAAGGAATTGAGTGGTTATGGTAGTGATCAATCCAGCAGAAATACAGGGAACTATTTTGAGGTGGAAAACTTAAATCCAGTTTTATCGATCCTTTCTTGTTATCTGGTAAATATTAGATGCAATTGCTTTGGATAACTTGTATGTTCTTGGAAAAGTGAAAAATTGCAAAAGTCGTCAACAAAGGGTAAATGTTTCCATATTCCTCTTGTAGAGCTGATTCTATTCCAATGTTTGCAAAGGCAAACAAAGGGGCAGTAAGAAGTGATCCCTCAGTGACCCTGTTTTCCAAATGATGAATAGAAGGTAACCTTTCTCCTGGGCAGACATGGAATGTCCATTAAGATAGGGAATCTACCAGAAATAATGAGAGTGGATAGCACTCTTTACACCTTACATTATCATGAAAGTAAGGTGCAAAGAATGCTTTATCTCCAGGTGGTGTAGGCCTTCCTGGTATCAAAGATGATGCTTCAAGATAAAAGACAGAGCAATGTGTTGTTGCACCACAAAAGTGGAGAATTGTGTAGCTAGGGTATATAGACGGTCCATGTTTGATCGCAGTCTTCCCAAACCACATTGCATGGGCGTACATGTTTCTGTGTTCCACAAGCCAGAGCAGATGGACATTTACCATTCACTCTAATAGCTTACACTCTCGGCTAGTGAGGGGATTTGGTTAATTAATGAGGTTGTTCAATCCTTTCGTTCCTTAGCATTTGGAGTAACAATGTCTTCCTGCCAGTGCTCTTAAATTATAAGCTCAATCTTAATTCAATTGAAGAGAAAATGAAATTGCATGCTTTACCATTTGGGTTTCTGGTCAGGTACCCGAGTAGAATCTTTTGCACATGCGACATAATGGAAAACAGTACTGTAATCTTCAAGGCTATTGAAAAATCCAATGCACAGTGATTGATTGAGGTTTCCAGGAACGTCAACTGCTATGGTCATTTGTCCAGTTAGTGTGGTGAAGGTTTTATTGCGAGAGGTGGAGGCCCCCAGCGGGGGCAAGCTCCGAGCTCTCGATTAGTCTCCGGACACGTGTGATAGTGTAGTGTATGTAAGTATAAAGGCCCATTCACAATGCAAACAAACATACGCAGGGCGTTAACATAAAAGTAAAGGCTACGTCCATAAGCGGACTCATTCACAATGCGTTCGCATAATCATAACACGTACAACGTGAACTTAAAAGCTAACAAACCTTGAGCTTATGTGCTTACGCTTAAGTAAGGCATAAGAAATGGACCAATCATAGTACGTTAATCCAAAATATGTTCGAAGTCGATAGACGAACTTCCGCCATCTACGCTAGATGACGTTGGACAAACAAAAGACCAAAGAGAGAAGTGTACTGTATGGAACTCTTTAAAAAAGACTGTGGTTCGGTTCTACTGATTGCGTGCTGCGAAGACATTAGTTTCAATCAAACCCATTGACTATGGACACAGTCGATATCTCGAAATAGATTCTCACATCCAATCAATAAAAACTCTTATTTTGCTTATTCGCACAATTCGTTTTTGTAATCTAAAAGTCTGGTAACTATAAGATGTATTTCCCCAGAATATTATGCCATATCTCAGGCGGGAATGAACATTCGCGAAATAAACACAACGAACAGTGTGTAGGCTGACTGAATTTGAAAGAATTCTGAAAGCGTAGCATAAATAACTTAATTTCGTGTTCAATTCATTTAAATGGACGTTCCATTTAAAGTTTGACTGAATGGAAAGACCTAAAAATGTTGTTATCTTAACATTAGTCAA